TGGTTACTCACATTCGTGACCTGGTTAGTTGTGTCTAATTCTTAGACATTTTGAGTTCTTATTAACCCACAAATCGAATTTGCGCCGTAATAAGGCAGTGCTGCCCATCACATAGAGTATTCGAATGACTACTTTACAGTGATCGCTAGTTGTTTGACACAGCGCACCTGCGAGACCAAGTAGCCGCTCCATCGATGAATGTGTAGGACGGCAACGCTCAACACAAGATTTACCGAAAACATCACTGCGTGGAAGTTTCACACATGACTGAACAGATATGCCTCCTTTTTGATTCAACAAAAACAGTCAGCGGCTGACGTACGCGACATTGGTAGTTGGACAATGCACATGTGCTAGGAGTCCTACATTTGACTGACAGCTCTGAGTGATTGAATGAGCAGTGAATTTTCAGCAAACTTGCAAAGGCATGTTGGATCGAAAAAATTATAACAGCCGAAGGAGAGCAAATGAGCAACGTATCCATAAATGAAAACGCAACTAAATCTCTCCCATATAGTATTCTTCAAACAACTATGCGGAACAGCACTCCTCGCTGCTCAAATGGAACGATGCTCAGACTATTGAAGTTGATAAAAATTCTCGGAATACCCACTGTTGCTTTCACCATTTTGTGGCTTCTCAGGTAAGCTGACTTCCTCATATTCCATTAATTGTGTTTCGTATTAAACTTGTATGAAGTTGGCCTTTCAGAATTTCGCACTAACACGGTAGAGTCGCAGCGCAACTAGGGTCTTAGGCTTTTGGACGTAAACTAGGTTACCCATCTGATTCCTCGACGTTGAAATACAAACGGGTTGTCTTTGATTTCGCCGTTGTCTTGAACCCTAGTTCTACCTTAGCGTGTGAACAACTGGTCACCACGGCGGCACCATTTAGATTTCAATGTGTTCGCACTACTAAAATATATGTGAGTAGCGGGTGATTGGCGAGAATTTGAATGCACGGCAAAAGTCCCCCAGGGTGTCCAACGAATTTAGAACAGCAAAATGAATGCTTGGAAACCGAATTTTCACCCCGTAGCGATTCTATTGGTGGTCTGTTCCAGGTCACGCAAGTCTCTCGTGATCACGTTAACTCGCTTGAGGATCAAACTCGACAGATTTGAGGACATGAAAAAAATAGGAATTTGCTGTTTTGATTGTGAGCTTCTATATACCGGCAAACATTTTGTTTTTAGTGCTTTCGGCTGTGTAGTTGCTCTTGGTGAGTAACTCTACGCATAGACAACTTAGGTGTGAAACCAGTGTCCTCAATCCTGACCTGCTACAGAAAACTTAAGTGTCTCACCCAGTCGGTGGGATAACTTCTGCTCTGGATACCATGAAATTGGTGTTTACACACAGGACTCATTCGCGTCTTTTGACTGTACTAGCTTCGTCCACCTACATACCACATAAACTGGCAGTCCGTGGCACAGCTGTCAGACCGGATGGCGTGTTTATTGTGCAGACGGTCTTAGACTGATCACTATAAATGATAGGACGTGAAATTTGCAGATGCAAATTACTTGCGAAATTGATTGGGCGAGTTCGGACTGGGTGGCATCTGTAGCACATCGCTTTGTGCGTTGAGGCCTGAGGATTTAAATTAAACACTTGTTGAAAAAAACAAGCAACGTCAGTAACACAGTTCAACCACCAAAAATTGACTTCTCATCCATGAAGCCAACATTCTCCCAAACACGAAGGCAGGACATGCTGCTAGGCTCGTTTCATCATTTTAGTGTACCCTGTCCGTCCGATATTCAAGTGTAAAGACAAGCGCAGCCACTGTTATGATTTCCTGACACATTTCTGAACCCGATGGCTGCTTTTGATAAGGAGTTGTTCGATAACGACTAGATACTGAGATCAAAATATGTCTTCACACTGCCAAATACATAGTTATGTTGATATGCCTTTCCAGTTAGGCGCACCAATACACTGGAAAAAGTTTGGAACCGATTGAGAAGTCGTCAAATCAGCAGGGGTTGGTAAATAACCGGTAGTTTTTTCTTAACTGGATAAAGTTTCGCCTTTGATAGAAAAGCTTCAAGTCAAGTTGTAAGGCATTCGGAAAACCAGTTAGTAAGACCTCTACACGTTAGCACACTAGATCAGTGTTGAATGTCTACCAGAGTCCTGTTGATTAGTGTGGTTGCCTAATGTTGATGGGATATCAAATCATTTTTTGATCGGATTTGGTTCAAGGTGCATCAATTGATTATTCACATTGGGTGCTGGTGGTAGATTTCGGTGGTCCGTGTGGGCTTGTAAAGGCTACGACAATTTAGTTGGGGGGATGAGACTAAATGCGCTTCAGACCTAAGTTGATGACTTTTCTTTCTAATTAACCGTACACCACCACGTATCAGCTCGACTCCTCTAAGACGATTCTCCACACGCTTGCCATTTCTACGACTTCTATCCTACTTATACTGAGATGTTTGGCGATTTCCACTGTCTCGGCTACCGGTCTATGTGGCGTGGACCGTAGTCTCCGCCCCAAAACTTCAACGTTTTGCAAGTCTATTTTGTCCCGTGTCCGTGCATGTTCCGCAATCGCAGTCATTACACAATTATGTAGACAGTCCTTGGTTTCGTTTGCCGGGAGGCGATCTTTCAATTGCAACAATCCAGCGTTCCCCCTCCCCTGGAAAGCTACCCTTATGTTGGCCGTGTTTAGAATCCTTCGAATGACCTCCGATAACCCCTGATCTATATGGAAGTAGAGCAGTCACAATCTATTCCTTGTTGAGTTTCGGCACCGATACCAAAACCATTGTTAACTGACACCTAATCAAACTAACTGGATATCTACTACCCCAAAATTTGTTCTTTACTTCAATTTGGAATGTTGTCTGACAACATATTTCTGCGCACAGGGCCCTTACTCGACTAAACATTGGCGAAGCAATATTAGCGAATACCGACATCGGATGGGAAGACGAATAGTTCAAAATCAGTTCACTTATCACAGACTGGTTTTTAGTCCTCCCTGACCTTGTGTGTCATGCAGTCTAAGAGCGGTGCAACCGAAGTTGACTCTACTCCATACCAAATTTGATGCGTGAAATAAGGTCATTCAGATAGCTGTAAAACCCACAGACCTTTTCTCGTTTCACGATGAGTGTCATCAAAATGACGGCAGAATACCTTGGGTGGGTAAGGGAACCCGGCTAAAGCTTTCAGTTCAAAACCTGCTCACTTAGCCTGATGAAACTTTTGTCAAAAGCGAAGTGTCACCCAGTTAAAAACTGCCCATTGTTCACCAAGCCCTTCTGAAACGATACCTATACATACTAAGCAAGCAACCAAGACGATCCTCCTTGGCCAGTTCACTTTAACCTGTTGTGCACTGAACACCATCTTACGCCCTTGTTCAAGTTGGTCAGCAATTAATCGTCACTTTCCAGGCAAAATGAATGATTCATGCATCTCGCGGCTCATGTCACAACTCGCGAGGAAACCACTCCGGATCTAACTCCAAGTCGATCAGTAGAAAACAAACACGAAGCATAGGATTCCTCCAGGGTACTACCCTATTGAGTTGTAAAGTGCATTCCCATCATTGACCTTCCAGATTAGCAATAAACAATTTATGACACCTAGTACGCTTGCATGGCATTTTGACCAGCGACCTCCTCGGTACTCGAGCTGCAGACTCATACACTAAGCGATCTGGTTTCCTAAGGCTTGAGACAAGTACTGTAACTCGTCAGTCCAATGACTTAACACGAGTGAGAGACAGTTAGTTCGGCGAGAAACAGGCACGCATTACCAAGCTTTTTTATCGCAGCATCCCATTGTCTTGTCCACTCGCTGAAATGCGTAAGAACAACGATTTGGGTGGGAATGCACACAAGAGAACCTAGGGTGTCAATCAGTATTTCAAATTTGCTCATCCTACAATTTGACATTCTGAACCAAGCTACCCACACTGAAACCAACTTCTGCACGAGTACAATACCTCCGAGCGTCCTCCCAAGCCAGAATTATCCAACCTCTTCCAGCCACTTGACCGAGTCTAATAACTACGCTTGATCGAAGCACCATTTTGGTCGGCCTCATGCACCCTCAGTTCAATTTAGAAACAGATCACTCTTGTGGTCAGCGAATTAGCAATACTGATCTGTAGCCAAGTTCCGTACGGATGAACCCAGACGCTGGGCACTGTTGCCACGCAACACCATGAATCGGTCTCTGGCATATGGAGTTACTGGACTAGTTAAAGCAAATTCCTGATCTCGACCTGAGGTACGCTACGAAGCCCGGTATATATCGGTCAAAAACAGGGCACCTGACTTCAAAAGGGACTGAAGAACGACCAGCCAAAGTGCATGCCACAAACTCAACTAAACCGCCGCGAAGCGATTGGCAGAGATTTGAAGATGAAATGACCTTATTACATCCACTGTAATTCCTTCGATCGAAGTAGTTCGAAGTAGGTCGTTCTAAGACGGTTTTTAACCTTTTGTCGGTTTCCCCGATGCACACTTCTGTAAATTCCAAAACAATTTACCGGCTGATCGAAAGTCGTTGCACTCTATCCACCAGAAACGAAGTAACGGTGACCTTGTAATTTTGTCGAGGGTATAGCTAGCATTCGACTAGTGAGCTAAAGCATTTAAGGGCGAGTGAGTGAACATCGGTCGTGGTCTGGCGTGCGAACATGAAATAACAGACTCCACATAGGGGTCGGTATTTCGAATATGTGGTATTCATCAGTAATTCACACTCGAACTGGTGGTTGCTGCTTTTTATCTTGCAAATCGGAACGTGAATCCAAGTATATCAATGAGACCCCATGTCCGCTGCCTTCAAGTTTAGAAAAAAGGTGAGATTTCCGTGTATGAAAAGGATGGTGTCGACTCAATCGATCCGATCAACTTCCACTCTTTGTTACTGGAGAGCTCATCATTCTGACGAAACCGCAGGAAAACAACCCCTGGGAAACGCAAAAGAACGCGAGAGCAGTAAGTGAACTCAAAGGATTTCTCAGTAATTTTATTAAGATAACATAAAAATACGTTTTAAATAGAAAGCAAATGGCTGAGCAGACAAGTCACTCTTTCAAGGTAATTCAGGTTTGGATATGTCAGAAGACTGGACCTCTGGGGTTGTTAGGGTATTCGGCATTTCTGCATCAGTGGAATCGGCAGTATCCGTCGACTCCGTGCCCATTTGGACACCTTGCATGAAAGATAACGAGGTGGAGTCTTCGGACACGTGCCGACCGGATTCCGAAGGAAGATTCTCAGTTGCTGGATTTCGATTTATAGTGCGTTTGTACTTGGAGACGTATTTCTCCCATCGATTATGGTGTAATAGAGTAAAGTCTTTTTCGCGTGCTGCGATCAATTCCAAATAGAGTGCGAGGCCTCGGAGCTCACGGTCTTTAGTACGGTTGACATGGGCATCCCGATAGGGTCGAATCTAGTGTGACGCAAGTAAGATACGGAAATGGGTTACAAAAAATACATATCTTTTGATGCTCTTATGCACAATGTGCAGTGCACGAACTATCCCAGAATTCTCTCGTGAAGCTGATAAGTGGGTGCCTAAGGGTTTCGTCACGTGAGATGGGACGTAGTCTCCAAAATGTGAGTTGTTTAACCCCACATGAGAAGCAGTTTAGGGGCCGTTACATACATTTGGAAATGGAACTGTCGCTGATGGAAATCCGACCAGACTAATGCTGACATTCAGAGCTGTCTGCTGGTGAATAGTCGATTGTCTTAGCTGAATCACCAGTTTTATTCTTATGTGGATGTTATCTAACAATATGTGATGTGTGACACTAAGATCGTCATCTCTCCGCGGTGGAGGAACGTCCTGGGATCTTTTGAGTAGCGGACGTTTTGGGGTGATGGGCCCAAATATGTCTTGCGCAAAACCTGTGAGAGCTTGTTGAAATAATTTTCCGAAGACAATTCTCCATAATCTCGGATGAGTTTCTCGTTATAAATACGGTGCAACTAATATTACATACCCCTGAGTTCTAATATAGTTTTCAGATTTTTCAATAAACCTAACGGTTTGGGACTTTTGGCGGCCTGAACGGCAACTAGCAAGTCTTTTTACCTGTTTTGCACTATTTTATAACGCCACCGTCGGAATCCCCATCTACATTCGGAATTAATTCATCTCAACCAGTGCCACAGGCTGATATTGACCATGTTTGGCGACAAAGGGCTGCAGTGTTTCACAGTATAAATGAAATTCACATTCAAAAATAGCTCATATCCGACAATAAGCTTGTTTTTTGAAGATTCCAAGGTCACGGTGTGAACATTTCGAAGCACGAACTTTGCTCATTCCATTCTTGTAGTCTAAGCAGAGTTTGGACATATAATGACAGAAATGAGGTGGGTGTAGAGTATACATTCAAGTGGTACTTTATTCGCCCGTATTGTCTTCAAATCACCGGGACATTCGTACCGTGTTAGCTGACAGTAGCCTTGGGGGGATCAAGTGGTACGTATGCAGGCATACCAGAATCGCTACGGCAGAAAATATAGCTTACAAGGTTAGTGTGATTGAGACGTGTATTATAGATGACCTAGCATGGAAATCTTGCGGAGAACAGGCCAAGACATGGAACAGCAAGAGCGAGACTGCTATAGTCAAATTGGATGCTGTGAGATCTTTTCACCAGATTGATTTTTCTTGCACCTTGCACGGATTTGCATTTAGATTTGTCCAGCCAGTTTTACGAAACTTTGGGCAGTTTCTTAACTATCGATGCGCTGGCTCGCGTATAAAATCTACACAATTCAATTCTGCCATATAGTCCTAAAACGATGTATGTTTCATGTCGTAGTTCCCCACGGAACATTTAGTTCTTCGGGGATAAAAGCGCTTTTGGGGGACAAAATCGTGAACCATACAGGGAGGTTGGGTTGGCTCGTCGGGGACATGAAATCCTTCAGAAGATTGGAAGTTATCGCTTCTTGTGTCCTGAACAATGGTCCCTCATTGGGGCGATTAATTTATAGCGTAACTCTTCAATAACGGTTAGTTGCGACTGTCATTCAGGAGTGTCTTCCGGGAACGTTTTACAAATAACGGAGAAGCGTACTGTGGGGGTAGGAGGTCAAACGGATACTTTGGTGACAGCAACACGTTGGGAGACAAAATCCTGTCAAAAACGGCCCGAATTCGGTTCAAGGCCTATCGACCAATTGTTGCGATGTTTCACAGTCAACAAAGTCCAAGTCAAGTTCATTTGTCTTAGTCAGCAATCCAGATAAACAGCCGGAGCACCGAAGAGAAACAACGGCCGTCTGACGCAGGCAACCAAGGAGCCAATAAGGAGCTGAACCAGTCACGGTCGAGCGAAGTCGAACAACCAAGACAGAGTTCGAAATGGCGTCCAGGAATGCCATTTGTACACTCACAAAAACCCACTGATTTTGTTCACTAGAATGAAAATCCCCAAAAGCAAACCTTTTTCCTGACTTAGTTCCCGAGAAACGATATATCACCAGAACGTCCGGCGAACTGGTGGTAAATGGTGACAAAACATTTGGGTTCAAGTAGAACCCAAGGTTGACAGAAACTCGGAGACTGTACCTAATTGATGAGCCCCCAAAAGGGCGAAACCGGTTGTGGGCTGTCGAAGAGTTTTTAACAACATTATGAGCAACGTAGTACGTCTATACAATGTATCGCGATATTTCGGATAGCGTAACAACTGAAACTTGAGGTGGCCTGGTGCAGCGCATTCAGTTGCTTAGGAACCTCATAAACGAGAGATTCAGCTGGGTTCCAGGTGAACCTCCCGTCAAAACCAAATTGGTATGCAAATGAGTGTATGTCGTAAACTTCAACTCGTTTTCCAATGAAAAAGAAGTACAGATTTTCATTACAGATTGTGGGATAACTGCAATTTTAAAGTAAATACGAGCATCATACGAAGTAACTTGGATGGATAAATGATACATCCACGAGGTAGCACTCGTGAGCAAGATGATACGGCTAAATTCAAACGAAATTAGACAATTGTACCCGTCCCGCAACTAATAATGCGACACACGGTGACTGACCCGAGACTAAACAGACACAACAAATAGAGAGCGGGCCTTTTCAGTGGGCCAAATTTAAAACTACAAACGCTGACTTGGGGGGAGACACTCACTCGGAGCCCACTCTGTGGATTCATGATAAAATTACGCCGCACATCGTCAAACATGATGGTGTTGTGCGGTCCCCACTGGGGGTGATTCTTCCATATAACTGCCAGCGGTTTTACCTGCAAGATGCAATAACAGACGCAAAAACATAAATACCACAAGCATTCTTACAAGGGAACGTTCATACGAAACGTCAGTAACGACTCCCGATTCGCGTTTTGCTAAGCTATCATGAGAAAAACATTTAGGATTATCTACTTGTAAAAATGTAATGGAAATACAGAAGAGGCGAGTGTTGAAGCCCCAAGAGGCCGTCAATAAACATTGAGTGCAACCAGTCCGTGAAAGCAGTGCACACAGTGTCACACTTGGCAGTTAAAAAAACGTTCAGTTGTAGCACCCTTTCGGTGCCTAGCTGCCAGGCCACCCGAAGGAAGGACGAGGGCTTGGATACCGCCAGGTTGCCCAAGCCTAAAGAGGGGAAGTCGAGAGGCAGAGTTCGGGTTCGAACCACGGACCTTCCGGTCAGTAAATTCGCGCTCTAACCACTTGAGCCATCTCACCCAGTTGTGTATTCTTGTACGACGGATTGAAACAGTCTTTTCAGCACCAGGCGTTCTCGGTATATCATATGCTTTCTCGAAGAAACCGTGTTCCGACCAAAAACAATCACTGAAACAACTTAAGAGATACGTAATTTACTCCACTATAATCTTCTCTAGAGTGAGCAAGCTCTACGGAACCGGAAAGATAGTGCGTGGCTGATCTAATCCTCAAAAGGATAAACCATAATGGAAGTCCTACGATACTATCACTTCAGAGTTCATGCCATAAGCACACTCGCCACAATAGTGTGCCTTTTTAGATTGAATTTGACTTCCCAAGTCGGTAATTTGGCCACACAGCTCCATCTATTAGAATACTTCAGTTACTTCACCCACTTGAGGTAATGAAACTGACCGTCGGGATAAAGCAGTCCTCGAAAATCCATCAGTTCTCAAATTTCCAACAATCTACGGTTTCCGCTTCGTGATAACTTATCATGCTGAATGGTTGTCATTCATGTTTAGCCAGGTGAAAACCATTATTTCCCAGTGACTTGATTGGCGGCAGATGAGGATCATTATAGGGGTTCGGAACGTTGCGCTTATACGTGGGAGTCACATTGAAGTGTTAAAAAAATTTGGGGCACTCAGTTCCAACGAAAGTGGAGATCCCATTCCATCTCAACGAAATTTGTCGAAAGCCCTGTAAAAATGGCATTTCAGCACCTCGGAGGAGAAAGTATACATGGTTCTTATTGATCTCTAATGATGAAACATCCCGTTGAGGAAGCAAACAAGAAGCTTCCAAACGACGGCGAGTACGGTATGAAAGAATGTTTGTTACATGGATAAAATGTGATCGAATCAAACCCAGCTGAATAGTGCTCGTCAGCTATGCTGTCCAGGACACCAATTCATCACAAATGTTGGATTCAAGTTTCAAGTTTCAAGTTTCAACACCACCTGTTGCGACCAGATAGTCAAACGTGCGACGTGCCGTGCGAATAAATCAAAACGCAGATCATTATCATCAAAGACGGCAACATCGGTGCTGACGATGATGATTCACTGCCGTACAACCATAAAGTTCGTCTAAGTACATGTATGCAATTATATTAAAAGCCCTATGGTGAAAAGAAGAGACAAAGAGTGGGCGAGGGAGGGAAACTAGTGCTGGCCTATGTCAAGCAATCTGAGGTGCCTACACCTCGAATCGCTCAATCACAACCTGGAAAGAAACACACAGCACGAACGCCACTGATATTGATTAGCCCTCATTTCTTGCAACGTCTCCAGCCAAGCACAGGCGGGGTCACGGGGTCACGGGGTCCCCATCCTGGAAGGTGTATAACACCAGCATCACCCGCTCTTCGCAATCTCTTTTACGCCTTTCTGCCAAGTCATGCGCTGTTCATCTCGCGGTTTGCGCCATACTGAAGGAAGCACGGAGAACAACACCCGTCACGGTAGATGGTATTTCGGCACGCGAAGCACATGCCTGAGCCATCGTAGTCGGTGGTGCTGAATGTTTTCCCGGATTGAGGTACCCGCAGCACAACCAAATACCCGTTTTCTAATCACCTCGTTCCTAACACGTTGAAGCCATCCAAAACCGGCCAAGCTTCTGAAGCATCGGTGGTCGAAAACCTGAAGAATCCTCACCACCTGTCCGCAGAAGCCATGCCTTGCACCCATACACCAACACAGTCCTCACTGTAGCCTGGTACACACGACCCTTAAGATCTAGTGAGATAGCACAAGTGACGCAAATTAGAAAACGTGATTCGAGCCTTTGAGATTCTTACACTGACTTCATCAGACACACTTCCGTCAGAGCTAATACAACTACCGAGGTATGTAAACCTTCCCACAATCTCCAGTGATTCTCCTTGAATTGCAACGGTATGTTCGTAGACTGTGTTCCGAAAGATGACTGCACTTTGAAGATGAAAGTCACATGCCAAAATATGGTATGATGGTGGTCATTCTATTCAACAGGGTTTTGCTTCGCTTCGGTCTTCAGAGATGAGGGCGAATTCATCTGCGTACTCCAGATCGACAAGGCAACAATTTGAACATCGAAGTTTCGAAGACCGTCCAGTATTCGCCTCATTATTTTATCAATGACGAAGTTGAAAAAAGACGGGAGAGAGCGGACATCCTTGTCGGAAGCCACTTTTTGTAGGGAAGTTTTGGAGAGCTCGCCATACTCTCACCCGCTCCGAAGTATGCGAATGTAGGGATCGGATTATGTTTACAACTTCTGGGGCACGCCTTGATGAACGAGTGTAATAAACAACACTGACCGGATGACAGAATCGAACGCACTCTTAAAGACAAGGAATGCCAAGTGGGTGGGTTGTCTGTATATATGGCGTTGCTCTAACACCTGATGGAGTGTGAGGATGTAGCCAACGTAGCCTCTACTCGGTCGAAATCCCCCTTCATTCTCACGGGTCAAGGGTTCGCGCGCCACCGTAAGACGACGCCAGAAGCCTTGTCACAACAGGAATCCAACTAACACCACTGTGGTTACTACATTCACTGCGAGTACTCTTTTTGAAAATGGGCACTACTGTCGATTCACTCCAGTTGTCTGGGACGGTCTCCTTCTCCCAGATAGACCCAAATAGCCTAGACAGGCACTGTCTGAGAAGTCCACTGCCATCTTTGAAAAGAGCAAGTGGAGGGTAATCAGATTCAGCAGCACGAGGACACTTCAGTCGAGAAATACACTCAGACATCTCTGAGACTGAAGGCGGCTCCACATTCACGATTCACCTTACTGTTGAAGGCCAGGATTCTGGATTGGAATAGCATGTGGCCAGCTGAATTGCTGTCAGAAGTGCTATGCCCAGCGGTCCAAACTTCTACCTTGCTGCATATCAGGGAGCCATTTTGGTCTCTGGTTATTTCGCTGACGAGAGGTTTCCGAGGACCAGTCGAACGAATCAAGTGGAACAACTTGCAGACGTTTCCAGCATTCTTTACATCTTCCATTTCTTCGGCCTTTCGTGTCGACCAAACTTCTCGGTCTGCGCAGAGACTCAGTTTCACATGGCGTCGGGTGGTGGCGGTCAGGGGGAATCTGTCGCCGGGTCTTGAGCAAAAACACGGTCCTACCAGAGATGCAATGTGTGGATGAGGTCGGTTGGATTGTACCGCAAACAGACGCTCTGGCTATGAGTAGCACTTTGGATATCTTTTCCCAGTGGCCGTACCGCCCGAGAGGCATTTGAGGCATTTGGTTCTGACAGTTTCTTTTGACATCTGGGTCCACTAGCTTCTCAATGGTTAAGCGAGGTGTTCGCGTTCTGCGTGCAACTGAAAAACGCAATGAAAAGCAGCAGCGTAAAAGTGCATGGTCGAAGTCCACGCTGGTGTTTCAGAAGGAGCGCCAGGCGGTGATCGACCCTCGCCACCGATAACTGACGGAGACGTGGCTTATTTGGATTCGGTGCTGGTTTTTTGGTGGGCACCACGTTGTCAGGCGATTTCTGCTGTTCCGGAAATTCGTACTGCAAAGGAACAGTCTGTGGTCGGCACACGTCGGAAGTAAGCGATCCCCGTCGTCCAATATGAACACCCGATCGGGCCTCAGCATTGCTTAGCCTACCTACCTGGAAGTTCATATCACCAGCAACCACAACGATATCTGAGCTTTTACCCTGCTGTAAAAGGGCACCTAGGCCGTCATAGAGACTGTCCTTGGCAGATTCCGAGCTACAGTCAGTTGGGGTGTAAGCGCTGAACGAGTGTAATAAACAACACTGACCGGACGACAGAATCGAACGCACTCTTAAAGACAAGGAATGCCAAGATTGTGGGTTGTCTGTATATATGGCGTTGCTCTAACACCTGATGGAGTGTGAGGATGTAGCCAACGTAGCCTCTACTCGGTCGAAATCCCCCTTCATTCTCACGGGTCAAGGGTTCGCGCGCCACCGTAAGACGACGCCAGAAGCCTTGTCACAACAGGAATCCAACTAACACCACTGTGGTTACTACATTCACTGCGAGTACTCTTTTTGAAAATGGGCACTACTGTCGATTCACTCCAGTTGTCTGGGACGGTCTCCTTCTCCCAGATAGACCCAAATAGCCTAGACAGGCACTGTCTGAGAAGTCCACTGCCATCTTTGAAAAGAGCAAGTGGAGGGTAATCAGATTCAGCAGCACGAGGACACTTCAGTCGAGAAATACACTCAGACATCTCTGAGACTGAAGGCGGCTCCACATTCACGATTCACCTTACTGTTGAAGGCCAGGATTCTGGATTGGAATAGCATGTGGCCAGCTGAATTGCTGTCAGAAGTGCTATGCCCAGCGGTCCAAACTTCTACCTTGCTGCATATCAGGGAGCCATTTTGGTCTCTGGTTATTTCGCTGACGAGAGGTTTCCGAGGACCAGTCGAACGAATCAAGTGGAACAACTTGCAGACGTTTCCAGCATTCTTTACATCTTCCATTTCTTCGGCCTTTCGTGTCGACCAAACTTCTCGGTCTGCGCAGAGACTCAGTTTCACATGGCGTCGGGTGGTGGCGGTCAGGGGGAATCTGTCGCCGGGTCTTGAGCAAAAACACGGTCCTACCAGAGATGCAATGTGTGGATGAGGTCGGTTGGATTGTACCGCAAACAGACGCTCTGGCTATGAGTAGCACTTTGGATATCTTTTCCCAGTGGCCGTACCGCCCGAGAGGCATTTGAGGCATTTGGTTCTGACAGTTTCTTTTGACATCTGGGTCCACTAGCTTCTCAATGGTTAAGCGAGGTGTTCGCGTTCTGCGTGCAACTGAAAAACGCAATGAAAAGCAGCAGCGTAAAAGTGCATGGTCGAAGTCCACGCTGGTGTTTCAGAAGGAGCGCCAGGCGGTGATCGACCCTCGCCACCGATAACTGACGGAGACGTGGCTTATTTGGATTCGGTGCTGGTTTTTTGGTGGGCACCACGTTGTCAGGCGATTTCTGCTGTTCCGGAAATTCGTACTGCAAAGGAACAGTCTGTGGTCGGCACACGTCGGAAGTAAGCGATCCCCGTCGTCCAATATGAACACCCGATCGGGCCTCAGCATTGCTTAGCCTACCTACCTGGAAGTTCATATCACCAGCAACCACAACGATATCTGAGCTTTTACCCTGCTGTAAAAGGGCACCTAGGCCGTCATAGAGACTGTCCTTGGCAGATTCCGAGCTACAGTCAGTTGGGGTGTAAGCAGACAATAACCAAGGTGCGATGAACCTCAATTCCCTTAGATTCTCTCACAGATGTTGCCAAACGAACCGCACAGAGGTGACCATCGACGGGTATCCAATCGAGTAGAGACGCTTCCGCTCGTTCGCTCAATACAATACCCAGCCCACCACATCCAGCTACAACTGCCTCTGCATCACCAGAGGTGCGCAGTCGGAACCTGGAAGAGAGCGAGGGGGCAGTCAGTTCAACCACAGTACTTGCGTAGAGCCTCCTTGTTTCTGATAGACAATATACATCAATGCAGAGGGAATCCAGCGTAAGAGCAAGAGCCGGTTTTTGACCTGCTTGCCTCAGTGTACGAACATTGAAGGTGGCTAAGGCTTTCGGGGTAGGAAAATAGACCTCGAAGTGTTTAGGCTTGTGACTGAGCTCGGACGTGCAGAAGCTGAAGCTGAGTGTGATACAAGGCGAGAAGAACCGTCAGTCCTAGATCTGGGACCTGCGGAGAAGGTATTCTAATTTGGGTGAAGGATGGTTTGAGATGGAAAACGTGAAAGTGTAAGGGAAGCGTCAGAAGTAGCATGTTTTCGGTTACCCGCCCTGATGTATGTAGCGAGTAAGGCGACCCGGCTGATGGCATCAAGCAACGACCAATATGGCATGAGAGTAATGTTATCTGTAAATGTCGTAGTTGTAAGAAGGTTGGGATACTGCCTGGGCGCCCACATCTAGACAGGACGACGATTAGGGTCCTTAACTGAAGTCTTCGGCTCAAAAGCCCAATCCCAAGGCAGCGGTGTTGGGCTGAAAATGCCAGTACATTACCATTTTTACGGAACACGCCGCCACACATGTTCCAACCACCAACCTGGAGGGCCAGGAGACTGTGTTCGTCAGACCTCTACCACTGGATCAACCTAGTAAGAGACTCTGTGAGTGTCACGCGGACACCCCCAGTATAGCTCAATGCGTCGTCGAGGTACACAAATCGCTACACAACTGTAAGGTCTAGTCTCTCCATGACGGAAAACGCAGATCCATTAAGTCGGTGCAGGCATATCAACTGAGGCAGAAGACGCATACATTCGGGGACTGGTTCCAATAACCAATGAAGCATCAAGTGGTCTTGTGAAGTCATGGCTCCGGTACCGAGAGAAGTACTGTGCTATTCCAGCTACAACTTCGGACAATGCTCCTGCAAAATACTCCTTTCCAACAAAGTATCAAGGGTGGTCGGTTTCGCTATCAGATCAGACAATTGAGTTGAGAACTGTTCCGCTGAACTTCCGAGTTTGTTTAGGCTCCGTTTCGCACGGAGCTCAAAACTCAAGAGCCACAGAGAAAGTAAAACTTGTTTGGGAAACTGGGAAGCACGGAACTGGGGGTATAAAGTTAAATGACAACCTGAGAGACTAGTAAAGAATATCTTAACTTACTGACCTCCTTAACTCCATGAGAAGAGAAGTGAACGCTGATCATGTCAGTCGCATCTAGTAGCAACGAAATGCGAAATGGTGCTTGTTGTGAATCATTCGACAACTGCAAGGTATCTGGCGCGGGTATCTGGGAAGTTGCGGATACATCAGTGGTTTGATTTCGGAGAATGCTAGCAGCATTAGCAGGAATTATCCCCAGCTGCCCGAGTTTGGCCAGGATCCAGGTCATACTGGTGGCGGACCAAATGGCAATATCATAGTGCACGTAAGCTCGTTTTAGGAACTCGAACAAATACGGTCGCGCCAACTGGCGGGCGTTCTCAGCTGGTGTCAAGTGATCTAGATTGAATCGAGAGAACCAAAAAGCGGAAAATTGGAAATGCAAACTGTCGTGTCAGCAAGGCTGAACTTGAAGAACATGGGGAAGACAAATTCAGGGAAGTGGCGTATTTATTCACAAGTTCGACTCAGTTTCCAACGCGGCTGAACAGATGATCAGAGACGGAGATGATCGAAATGAAAACACCACTTCCGCATTCTAGGTTCCGGATGCACACGTCGGAGGTTTTTATGCCATATTTATGTTAGCTACGTATTCAAGGCAGCATCACTGATTCAGGGACTTTATAGACCTGACTAGACTATAGCTTATAGCCACTCAAATCTTATATCACAGGACCTGATTAGGGAAGATAGTTGTCAGAAACGGACTTAATTTTGGATTACATTATTTCTGCTTCACTATTAGTTCATGGTCTAACTGCTTAGGATGATTAGCTCTCAGCATATGGCTAACTAAAAAGATACTTGCTGTGCAGACAGCTCCGCGACATATGTAGCATGATATACGCGGCGCGACAATCTCCGAATAGTTCCAAAGGTGCTCGGTCTCAAAGTCTCGAAGGTTGACTGAACGCAGGGAGAGGCAGATCCGTCAAAACTAAGCCGGGGTAAATCCTGTAAAAGAGTTCGTCGATCGCACATTCATCCTCGGGCAGATTCTGGAACAGTGGTACCACTTCCGGTAACTAACAATGGTCGTCTTTCGAGACTGACTGAATAGTCGGACACCATCACAGTGTTTATGGACCAGAGGTGTCCCCATAGATTACTAGCTCTCCTTAATGGGCTGTACGCCAACTCTCGTGGTGCTGCGAAGGTAGAAGGGAAGCTCTCGCCTGAGTTCACTACATCCAGCGGTGATATAATTGGGGACAACATTCCCATCCAAATAGGAAATGTCAGAGCAGCTCCTATGACCTTGCATCTCTTGTGGCGTAGGAATGACGATAGGTTATCGGTTAAGCCCCGAGTTTATAATGCTGCGGTGTGCTCCATATTGTTATATGGGTCAGAAGTCTGGTTGTTACAAGCTGAGGACGTTAAGACACTTTGGGTGTGTGAAAACCGATGTCTTCAGGACGTTGCCTGAGTCTGGTGAACTACGCCGTTTTTTTAAAGAAATAACTCGCTCACGACAGACTAACTGATCACACTCCACACATTGCACTGCCTCACTTATGTGCTCCATATGCCAGTCATACGAATTCTTAGAAAAACCCTTTTGGCACAACCGTGTGGAGGGGCAGTCAAACTATGACTGGGCAGTGAATTGGGAAAGCAATTACCAGCAAAAACAGTAGCGCTGGCCGTTGCTGTCTCCATGGATGGGGACCCCAAGATGGGACAGATCAATGGTTCGAGAAATGCATAGAATGGCCATTCGCGAACTCAGTGTTGCGTATGCATCCAAGCTGTTTCCTTCAATGCATAGCTAACAATCCCGACCACCCCAAGGAAAAACATATAGCCACTCCTGAATCCACACAGCAATTGAAAAAGTTACTAAATCCAAAGCGTACATATTCGGCCCTATCTAACCAGATCATCGGTGAACGTGTGTTAGCTTCAAGCACTGTACATGTACGCGGCTTTACAGTTGATCATGATGATATATGGAATAGGGCCAAGAACAAAGTATTTGATGGTTTCCACCAAAACAAATCTGAGAAAACAGGTAAGACATAGCAGTAACATAATATGACTGGAATAATTCAGTAAAAGTTCATAATTGCGAATTTGCGACGCAAACAACAGGAACAGCGGTGATATTCTTGGAGGGGGCAAAACAAACATCTCTACTAACGAGTGGACAACGACATAATTCACCTGTAACACCATTTCGGTGGCCAGCTGCCATGCCAGCTGAAGGGAGCGCGAGCGCTAAGATGCTGTTAGGTTGCTCAGGATAAGTCGAAATACCAGTTGGGTTCGAACGACGGACCGTCTGGTCACCAAGTATGCACCCTAACCACTGAGCTATCTCAAGTTCGTATGCATGTACGCACTTAGGTGGGAATGTTTCTGTTGCGATTTTTACCGATACGTCGATAGAGACGGGGAGGAAATAGGCTTCCGGGTTTGAGAAGAAGGTACTGATATTGCTATACGATTATACGTCATTGCGGCAGACGCCGTTTTAACATTGAATACAGGTCAAATTTGTTTCAGCATGCGATACTGACAGGCATAGAGGCAATTTGCATGAACAAAGTAGACAGATTTGAAGCGGTGGGCTGTATTTTTGGCGATGATTGCGGTATTACTGAGGCTTTAAAAGAATTTGTACGTTTGGTATATGGAGTTGCTTCAAAGTTTGCGGGTTTTAACAGTTAATGGTGGTCACATGAAAAATGAAAAATCCAGACTACTGAGACGAAGAGACCGACGTGAAGTTGGCAAGATCTTCAAACTCGGAAATGATGAACGTGAGTTGCATGAAGATGTGATTTTATCAGAATAATCAATAGGCACATTCACTGGTCGTATATATCCTACAGTGAATGATCTTGTGGAATTGCCTCCCGAGAATCGTAGCTTGGTCGACCTGATATAGAAGGTTAGACCAACCGGTAGGATATGTTTGGGAAGCTTCCTCAAAATATGTAGCCTGCAATTTCAGTGCCATTAGAAGTTTAGTTCAGTCAGCTTTCAAGAAAATTTCCACCGCACAAGTTGGAACTGAGCGGTTAATTCCCAAGACAAAATGATAGCGTCCAGGAATGACCAGCATTCACTCTGCTCACGTTAGTATGCTGTTAGCTTTTTGTTGATATAGTGACTCAACAACCCATCAATAATGCAACTCTCAATAACGTAAGTAAATGATGTTATTCAGTCAACCGTGCATCATGACTCCGATTCCTGTCCAAGCTACGAGTTTGGCACGTGCTGGTTGGAGTAGGGGAACTTAAGAAACGGAGTGCCGGTCTGGGGTTACATCCAGGGTTCAAAACAATCATAGACCCTACGCAAAGCACACATACGGTTTAGAATTGATGAATGCATCCACAAGACATTTGGTTTGGCTATCGGGACACCGAACGACGTAACCTACATGACAAGCCTCTAGATGTAAGTCGTATAGGCTGGACTGTCGGTAACAGGACTTCAGACAACTAAAAAGCTACATACCTCGCAAATGTTCTATCACCACCAATCTAAACTGGGCAGTATCGGCAAATTCAATACCATTAGTCCTCGTACCATTTTCCCCTACTAGGTAAAACCAACGATGGAAGTCATTTTTCCTTCAGAACTACCTCCAATGTCGGTAGGAATCCGTTAGTGAGCGGGACGAGATGGCTCAAGTGGTTAGAGCGCGAATTTACCGACCGGAAGGCCCGTGGTTCAAACCCGACCTCTGCCTCTCGACTTCCCCTATGCTCGGGCAACCTGACAGTATCCCAGCCCTCGTGCATCCTTCGGGTGGCATGGTAGCTAGGCACCGAAAGGGCGCTACAGTTGAACGATTTTTTTGTGAGCGGTAAGACACCGTACGAATGAGTGAAACCTTTGAGCTAAAACTCACCAAAAATTGTGTAGTCAACATCCAATACCAGCAGATGCTTCCCTATTCGTGGTTCACACAACTTTCTTGGCTTGTACGACTTGGAACGACGCGCCACCTTCTCTAGATTTTCTGGACTGTGGCCTCAAGTAACAGGGGAATGTAAACAACTCACAGGTCGCAAAGCTGAATATCTTCGTCCCGGATCTCAAAGTCGTCTAAAACGTCCGTGGGAGTGTCGACAATCCGATTCACATCCTCCTACGGGTATGAGTTATTTTAACTAATTTTAGATGGACTAACAATGGCCTCCTGAGTAGAACCAATGAGCATAATTTTGGTCGAGGGTTTGAGCACAAGTTGAGATAGCATGGTAGAATCGTCCACGGGCGCATCTGACACCAGATGAATGAAGATCATAACTGAACTAACTGTTGCAGGCCCGTAAGCCCAATAGCTTCTGAGTCTCCGCAAGGACACGTGTTCGTTGGAATAGAGCCTGCTTTAAGTCACCTAGAGTGTGCTCAGGTCCAAGTGAGTCAACAACCAGCGGTTGTCCGTTGAACTTGACGTGTATGACAAGTTGTGAATCACCCGGCATGATGCGAATGTTGACCGAAACTGGAAACTGAGGTAGATTGACTTTCCAATCACGACAGGTTCTGAAAGAAGAAAGGCCAGAGATAACATACAATACTGAACGGACTTTACAGACCACCTGAAACCCCTATTTTCACAATTGCAAACCATGTCTTGCGGCTCACAATCGCCGAGCACCAGACAACTGTCCACGAATATGATACCTCAACCAGTCCACTGCGTTTCGGGTGGAGGAATTCTAGAGTGTTAGACATTAATGACGCTCATCCAAAACATCATCAGGTCGACAAGTTTCCAGAAGACACAAGTACATGTTTTGTTTACAAAAGAGGTCCACACTATCTGTAACGAATTCGGCCTCTAAACACCAACTTTACCAACACAAAAAGCTGGTCCCTGGTCCCTCTACTGTTTGTTTCATTCTCCTCTGACGGAAGATCCTGTAAGCACCGGGAAAATCCACCCATACTCCTAACTGGACTGCGAGAGAATATGTTAGGTAGGTTCTTCGGAACGTGGCGTAAACTGATAGACGGAATGTAACTTCCAAGCTCACCTTTCCCAGTCGCAAAACGGCGGCATGGATTTAGGTAGGAGTGAATGAAATTTTTGTTTATACGGTAGTGAAGCACCACTGTCAACACCGGTGTTGCCGTCACCGATAATGGCCCACTAGTGGGGAGTCGTTGGGTTCACCAACTCATGAAGTACAGACAGCGTCCACGTAAATGTTCCTGCGTTTTTCCCCAGCAGGGATTTTCATTCGGTTTGGAAAGCATTCATATTCCCACAACTAGAGTTCACCGCTTCAAAACTCAGCGAATTTGTGTAACTGGGTGCACAGTTCTAACATGCCATCTACGTTAACGTTGAAAATGCCACCTCGGCTCGATTCTTAGACAAGTAGAACGTTGTTTATCCTCACACAATCATCCAACTCGTTCTCGGATGCAGTCTAAACATCTCAATTTGCCTGTCCAAGAATACAACGGAGCCGTAGCAACAACCTCGATTATCCGACGCTGACCCAAACTACGCAGATGCAGCAAAACGCTGGAATCACTGGTTTCCTGTCTTTGACACTTATATGAAAACTGCTGAATCTTCTAAAACCGACAAGCTTGAAACTTTTTTGATCCGCTGGTATACGATCACATTCTTGACTACACCGGCTATGAATCTGCGATCGACACGTTACGAAAATTATGTCTGCCCGAAAAATGTCATATGCACGCTACCTGCTGCAGACCTACAAGCAGGAGAACGGACAGGATATTAATCAGTTCATACGAAAACTGAAATCGTTAGCCAAAGACTGAGTTTAAATCAGTATCTGCAAGTGAAGATCAATAGGAACGCATGCATGGTGCCACCTGGCGTTCTCCTCCATACGCGAAAAAACTTCTAACACAGCGAACTTACTCTGGACTAAGCAAATCAACTTTCTAGATCCCTCGAGTTGGCTCGCAAACAGTCACAATCGTATGTTAGTAATGAATCTATATCCTGCTCTATGATTTCGCTCATTTTAGAGAATCCCGAACCACGCGCCGATCCGACCACTGCTTCTGTAAAATCCGTTCAAACATGTTACTTCTGTGGTTATAATAGACACCCTCACTCAAAGTGCCCCGCTAGAGAAGGTGTTTGTAATACGTGTGATAAAGCGGTAACTTACGCCGTGTACCGCTAAAAAATGCCACCAAGTTCTATACAAAGTGCAGGATGAAGCCCACTTTATCATCGTTATTCGTTGCAGCAGCACCTACCTGTCTAGCAAGCGCCATCACAAATATCGAAGTCGATGGCATCGCTCTCCGTGTTCTGATCGATACAGGAAGTTCTTGGAGATCCTTTAGTCCCACCGTCGTGAAACTACATAATTGGAAAATTCACCCAACGTTCTCAGTCGTCACAATAGCGTTTACATCACTATCCTGTCTTGTGTTTCTGTCCGACACAGAGGCATCGTACAATGAACTGAAGCTCTTTGTAGTGCCAAACCTCTAATCAGGCAAAATTTCCTAGGCTTACACGACAAGATAGAAATTTCCTCCGGCGAGGATCGTGATGCGTTCACTATCTGCGGCCTAACGGCAGATGAAATCATGAGACGAAAGCTGGAATGTCTTCGAAACTCTGGTGTTCAAATAGCCTGTGACGAAAACCTTGTCAACTGGAATATGCAGACAACGTTCTCATATGTGAAGAGAAGCCGCAGGTGTTTTTGGGTGAACTGACAAAAGTCATCCTGTCCTTTGGTATGCACTTTTCGCCCGCAAAGTGTAAGGTCATTCAGTCACTGAACACGCCAGGTACAAGCTAAAGAGAGATACTGGAAGTTGTGGACCGCTTTACGTATCTCGGAAGTTGTATTAGTTCTGATTGTAGTGTGACAGATGAGGCGAACGCACGAATCTGCAAGGCCTGGGTCGTGTTTGCTAATTTGAAACACCTGTGGCGTCGAATCGGCACACCCCTGAATCTCAAGGGACGTGTATCAAGCTACAGTGCGGGCTGTTTTGTTGCATGTCGGTGCTACATGATGCTACAGCATGATCTCCACTGCGCCTGGTTGGAGACACTACAAGATATGGTTGCCAACCGATGTCAGTGGCGTTCTTGTTGTCAGTTCCTATCCAGATTGCCTGAGTGAATGTCTGGAGGTGTAGGCACCCTGGAATGATTGTGTTAAGCTAGCAGTAAACCCCTGCGCATCCATCTTTGTCCTTTTCTTTGCAATAAGGCTTTCAAATAAATCATGATTGTACGGCAGTGAAGCATCGATATTGAACACTGATGTAATGTCAATGACGACGATGACTGATTATGGTGGTGATGATAATGATGATGGTGACGGTGAATCACCATCATTTCTCGCCAACATATTTCCAGATTGCACGCCTGTTGCCACCAAATTAAGATATCATCCGCATAATGAAGAATTCACTCGCGTCGAATTTGGTCGCTTATTTTAAGAAGGCATCATCGAGCCCGCAACGTCTCTTTGGAGAGTGCAGGTTTTGCTTACTAAGAGCGTCAATAACTGTTGTGGTGATGGTGATCTTACTTGTGCCTCCTGTTTGACATATTCGACCCTACACCCACCGTAGAAAGCCCTTCCCATATTCTCGAATCAGTTACTGGCCTCTGTGTGACTGTTGCGGCGTTCCTTTTACCATCCCCTTTTCTTGACTTTCCAGATAGCAGTGGGACGATCCGCATAAACCTGGGACCGTAAACTGAAGAGTTCGGACAACGAGTAAAACGTTTCAGCTTTCTGGCAGGATTAATCAAAATGGACTGATGTGAGAGGGCTACCGGTGCCGGGCGCCAAGAGCTGAATAGTCGCTGCACCGAGTACACTCCCTCTGGTCTCTTGTTTGATTGTAACACTAGCGACCACAAAATCGTCAGGATGTGGTATTCTCGTGAACGTATTGCTGCCATCTGCAACTGTTTCGTCACAAACAGCATTGAAGGGTTGATCTAAGAGTTGAAGCTCATTACCCAAATCCAGGCCCCAGAGATCAACTTTTCGCCCGCAAAGTGTAAGGTCATTCAGTCACTGAACACGCCAGGTACAAGCTAAAGAGAGATACTGGAAGTTGTGGACCGCTTTACGTATCTCGGAAGTTGTATTAGTTCTGATTGTAGTGTGACAGATGAGGCGAACGCACGAATCTGCAAGGCCTGGGTCGTGTTTGCTAATTTGAAACACCTGTGGCGTCGAATCGGCACACCCCTGAGTCTCAAGGGACGTGTATCAAGCTACAGTGCGGGCTGTTTTGTTGCATGTCGGTGCTACATGATGCTACAGCATGATCTCCACTGCGCCTGGTTGGAGACACTACAAGATATGGTTGCCAACCGATGTCAGTGGCGTTCTTGTTGTCAGTTCCTATCCAGATTGCCTGAGTGAATGTCTGGAGGTGTAGGCACCCTGGAATGATTGTGTTAAGCTAGCACTAAACCCCTGCGCATCCATCTTTGTCCTTTTCTTTGCAATAAGGCTTTCAAATAAATCATGATTGTACGGCAGTGAAGCATCGATATTGAACACTGATGTAATGTCAATGACGACGATGACTGATTATGGTGGTGATGATAATGATGATGGTGACGGTGAATCACCATCATTTCTCGCCAACATATTTCCAGATTGCACGCCTGTTGCCACCAAATTAAGATATCATCCGCATAATGAAAAATTCACTCGCGTCGAATTTGGTCGCTTATTTTAAGAAGGCATCATCGAGCCCGCAACGTCTCTTTGGAGAGTGCAGGTTTTGCTTACTAAGAGCGTCAATAACTGTTGTGGTGATGGTGATCTTACTTGTGCCTCCTGTTTGACATATTCGACCCTACACCCACCGTAGAAAGCCCTTCCCATATTCTCGAATCAGTTACTGGCCTCTGTGTGACTGTTGCGGCGTTCCTTTTACCATCCCCTTTTCTTGACTTTCCAGATAGCAGTGGGACGATCCGCATAAACCTGGGACCGTAAACTGAAGAGTTCGGACAACGAGTAAAACGTTTCAGCTTTCTGGCAGGATTAATCAAAATGGACTGATGTGAGAGGGCTACCGGTGCCGGGCGCCAAGAGCTGAATAGTCGCTGCACCGAGTACACTCCCTCTGGTCTCTTGTTTGATTGTAACACTAGCGACCACAAAATCGTCAGGATGTGGTATTCTCGTGAACGTATTGCTGCCATCTGCAACTGTTTCGTCACAAACAGCATTGAAGGGTTGATCTAAGAGTTGAAGCTCATTACCCAAATCCAGGCCCCAGAGATCAACGCCTGTATAGTTCGTGAGGCAGCAAGTACCATTGAGTCGAATTCCCTTGAATGTTACGGAACAGTTCAGCTTTCCGGTTAGCTTGAGGCTTCCACCAGATGTATTACGAACGGTGCAATGTGGGTTCCACTGGTGGCCTTCCAATTACACCCCAGGTTCGTTCTGAAATCATAGTGAGATCAGAACCCATATCAAGTTGGAGGGTAACCGGTGGTCATTGACACATACTGTGGCGAATTTATGCCAGCCGGGGGATTTCATCCTGAAAATAGCGGCCATGGCTCTAGCATGCGTTCTTTTGTAGGGTCGGTGTTGGCGCGAGTTCCTGCATTTGTCTATGAAGCATTCTTATATGTGACCCTTTCGAATGCACTTACTGCACCTGCGGTTCCGGTGGCGACACCGGCGTGAAAAATGTCATTTTTCACAAAACCAACAATGTGCGAGCGGTTTTTTGGAGTTCAATTAGAACTTGATTTCCTTTTGAAAGTTACCTTTCATACCATATTAGGCTGAGAGAAGTTGGAATGTCCAACCATTGCAGCATTAGCCTTGAGATTGATAAGATGCTGGCATTCGGTCTCTGAAGCGTCAAATCTGGATCCTGTTCAATTCGACGTAGCAGCCGGGTCCAAATATCTGGATCAGGTGGCGACTGAAGACCAGTCACGAGGATGAGACACTTGAATTGATCCTCGGTCATGGAGCTGAGAGCGCTCGCATTTTCTGTTAACCATTAGTGACGAAAGCTTCAGTAACCCTTTTGGTTATCTCGAGACACTGATATGGAATAGTGAACAAGGAACTTCGCTCACCGAATGGTTGGGCGAGGATCTTGAAGGTACCTGCGAAGCCAAGGTCATGAGGGAGTTTGGGGAGTGTGAAACACATGAACCGATCATGTTCAGTTGTTCCGAGTTCCCGCAACAACACTGGAACTCCCCATGCATCACTAAACTGAACAAAGTCGGTTTGACGCATGTCCTCATATTTCTCGAGCCAAATTTTGTAAGTTCGCCCAGCTTCAGCATCCAAATTGAATTAAGTAATCGAGCTGGGAGCAGCATGCATTCACCGACTTACTGCGCACCAGATTCAACAAGTCTCGTTTGAGCTTCTTCACACTGCTTCCGTTGCTGCTGTAAAATTACTTGAATTTGCTCTGCCGGCATTGACAACGTGGGCTCGTGTTGTCGCCAGTTGCTGTGACTTGTTGAACGGTCGTGCAACTTTTGTCGGTCACCTGGGTTATTGCTCCGCCCACTGTGGTATACAGAAAGGCACGGTAGTTTCAGCCAGCCCTTAATGGAGACGAAGGGGAATTATGAAAACTTTATTTATAGGGTAATCACAGAATATTCCGCAGGTCAGGCTAGAACGTCCATTAGGGGGCGAGCTGAAGATGCTCGATCCAGATTGGCTGACACTCTGACCAATCAGGACATGCCTCCGTTTGGTCCGTTGCCTGCACGTGACATCCGTCCAGACGACGTGATGTTCTGTTATTTGTGACGGCTGCTCTCCGTAAAATGACGAACGCCGAATAGTTTTGACTACAACCAAACTATCCCCCCGTTCGCATATCCGGACGCTTACCCTCTGCACGCTTGGACAAAATGATTGAGGAAATTTCGCACAACTACAGTACATTAGACCACTTATCTGCTTACCATCAGCTCCTCACCTATGCATCCGACAAATCTTTTACAGCATTTGAAGCACGTGGTGCTCTGTTTCAATTTCGTCGCATACCCTTCTGTAATATAAACGGCATAGCGTGTTTTCAGCAAAGTAATAACAATAACATCAAGTCTGAAAGGCTGTAAGTATGCCCGCATAAAAAATGTGACTGTGACGACACCCAAGAAGAACACGATGTTGGCCTCTAACCGTACTTAAAAGCTACGATGAAGTATGGAATCACGTTAAACGATAACAAAACCCTTACTGCTTCAAAGGTTATCCAGCCTCTGGATTATGAGGTTATAATAAGTGTCATAAGGCCAGACCCTGAACGCATGGAACCCGATCGTTAGTTACCTCCTCCGCGTACTTACACAACGATGCAACGCATCATCGGCGTGTTTGCATATTACGCTCATTTGATACCTTAGTTTTCTGACAAAGTAACAAGCGCAATAAAGCATTCCCTCTCTGCCGACGTCCAGTTAGCCTTCGAAAATCGAAGAACGAATTAGAAAAAGACGCGCCAATCACAGTATATTATGGCGAGCCTCTGGTTGTTGAAACGGGCGCCTCCGATATCCCTCTAGCCGCATCCCTCGACCAAAACCGCTGACCGGTGGAGTTTTTTTTTCGAGGACAATCATTTCGAGCGAGAATGATCATTCTGCCGTAGAGTAGGCATACGGTATCTCTGAATTCATCGAGAAACAGCACTGTCTGCTCGAAAGATCCTTCACACTGACCACCGATCGGCATTCAATCACGATGTTGGATAGAAGGGGAAAGTAGAAGAGGCAAATACCGCCCTGGAGGATGGAGCTGTGGGTACAAGCATCACGTCATTTACCGGCCTGGCAAGGACAATCATGTCATCGACATTCCGTCGCGCTATATATGTGCCTCCATTGAAAGCAACAATCAACTTAGAGAGCCCTATAACTCCCTTTACAATCCAGGTGTTGCAAGAATTTCCCCTACTCTGTCGACAATACCAAACATTATTTCTTGCTGTATCGTGTGGCCGAACTGGAGCCAAGATTCCGGAGGTCCTCTGGCGGACTCATTGAAGCAATAAAACTTTTGAGTGCATGAGTTTAGGTATTAAGTGTCTCCCGCCATCAATACATGGAACCACTACATACGATAATTGTCGAGCCCTCTTTTGCACATATGTGTGCGGATATAACCTTAGTAACCGTCATCGACTTTCTCACACATATCTACTGTTTGTCCGGAGCACCACTCAGTACCCATTCCGACGGAGGCTCATTGTCAACTCATCTGAGATTAGCTTTCTTCGGAAGAAAGATGTCGTTATGAGTTATACATCGGCTTGTACTCCACAGTGTAACGGTCAGGGTGGACGTCTCAACGATACTCTCTGAAAAGCAATAACCTTGGCGCTGGAATCTCAATCTTTAGCCTTCCCAGCGGGAATCCGTACTTCCTGATGTTCTACGCAACTTCCGATCGCGGTTATGTACGGCCACTAACTGTACTTCACCCGAACGTTTGTTTCAATAAGCACGCCGCTCAGCAACCATCTTGGTTTCCCACCCCCGGTCCAGTCTTGCTGCATCGAGGTAGTAGGTCATCCAAGTATCAACCGCTAGAACAGGAAGTGGACGTTCTGGACTGCAACCCACACTGTGCACACATCTCTCAACGGGACGGAAGAGTCAGAACCGTGTACCTTCGCCGTCTGGCTCCAGCGGTTCAAAATAAATCTGACGACATTCATAATCTATCTAAATCTACTAGGGGAACCGACCATCCAGATATGACTGAGAAAACCGGACGTCAGCCAGATAGCTTTCAAGCATCTGAACCCTCATTGATACCACCCTCCAAACACCAAAAAACGCTGGAACAACGGAGACGCATCCATCCTCTCAGTGTAAGAAACATGAAAGTCTTAGTCAGTACATCATTCACTACCTACGTCAGTCACATGTGCCCACTGAACAATGTCAGGGTGAATATCATTATTTTTGTCAGTATATTAATATTCTATTCTATTCTATTCTATGCATCCGTATTGGATGTTTGTATGCACATTTCAGCTCTTCTGCGCTTTTTCTGGAACAAGTAAAATGCTGTTTATCCTTGATAATCTGGGCTCTTCTAACTCGTTCTTGAGCACATTCTAAACGTCTCAGGATGTTACATTGAACTAACATTTGTGTTGTTACAAGGTTCAGAGGATTAAGATTGCCCAATATAAAAACCCGGGATTTTACCGTCATCATTCTAGTTCGAACCAGATATTCAGCTCACAAACCGCGAATTGAGATGTAGTTTCCAGCTGATACAGTTTCGTTCACCGAAGATAAGGTAAACAAGAGAGTCAGAAGCACGCTTTCGAGCTAGCGACCCAACTTATTCATTGACATCCAGTGGTTCTATTTGTCCAGGGTGGAAGTGATTGACAGCCATGCAGTGAAGGTGGTAGTTATGATCCAGAACCACCATTGGCTACGTGACAATCATATGTGTAAAGGTTACTATCCACTGTGTTGTACCATCCCGCGGCCCCTATTCGTGGAGATGGCGTTCAACAGAGTGGTTGAGGTGGCTAGTGAGATTTCATGTTTGTTGCAAGCTCATAAACTGATCGCCCCCGTGTCCTCTCCATCCAAAATGGCTATACTCGGTAAATGGTGTCTTTGCATACGAGACATATGGCATAACCAGAGCAACCTACGTAGTGTGACCAGCCGATCTATCGAGGGGGAATGGACTGTCCAGGAAGCCATTTACTGTACTTCAGTACCACTGATCTAGTGTCCCAACGAAATTCACCCGGTGCTTCGGAGGCACTGGTGGTTGCACAAAGGGAGCATTCGAAGGTTCTTCAAACGCAGCGGGCCCACCTGTGATCCATAAAGTAGGCTGATCGGACTGAGCGTTGTACATTCCACCCTTGACAGCCAAGTGGACGCCAGGTCAGCGCCACATATGTCGGGGGTTGGCACACGAAAAACCAGCCTCCTCAATGATGAAACTGTTTCGTCTTTCGTCAGTCCGGCTGGACTTATGCAATCACTCACACCACCACATCAATCGGTTCACATGCAAGGTTCAAATATGGGCCTGATAACACACTGCAGCAGCACGCCACAATTTACAGAAGCGCATGCCCGACTGTGTAGGGGAATTACTTATGTCAATTAGAACCACTTGCGTTTCTAAAGGGTCTAATCCAAGCAAAACAATAACGTTGGCGCACACAATGTGCAAACAACTGGGTTGTATTTCGATCTCCGAGGTGTTAAACAAAGGTAAATCGGGAGCGAAATATCTATCAGATTTGAAAGGATGACAGGAAAATTACTTGTTTGTGAACTCAGGAGAGAATATTTCGAAGGCACACGCGTCCACGGGAGGAAACACATAAGGTCTCTATAACGGACAAGAATTAGGAAGAAAGGCCCTCCATCGCCAGACACTGTCACAGTTTCTAACGATCAACGGAGCCCAAAGCAAACTGAAGATCGAGAAATAAGACTACTTTTGGTTGCAAAGTTGTGATATCATCGGTTATAAAACACGGCCACGGCGAAACTAAGCTTGATTTCCGTAAATCTGACCCTCCGGATAACGAATCACCCTGCGCAGGACAATGTCAGAGAAATTCTTGGAAGCCGTAGCCGTTGGGTTAGTGCCTCGATGGTTTTCAAAAGATATTCTTGAATATGGAGATCCCGTCAAGGCGTTTCATTCTGTTGGACGTTTTATCCATTCTAGACAGATTAGAGTAGAGTGGTTAAGTTGGCCACGAGGTGGTTCAAGTGATTAGAGCCCGAACTTACGAGGCGCAATTTCGGTGGTTCGAACCCGACATCCACATCTTGACTTCCCTGTCTAGGCTTGGGCAACCTGGAAGTATCCCAACTGTCTTGCTTTCTTCGGGTAGCATGGCAGCTAAGCCCTGGAAGGGTTGTACGTCTGAGCGTTTCTTTTACATTAGACAAGCCGCCTAGTGTTATGACAACTACCGTGGCATGCAAAATTCTT